CGAGGTGCGAGTCAGGGTCTGACGTTCCATCATATAGCCCGATCTGGGGGACTTTGACTTTCCCAGGTACAGGTTCCGAAGTGAGCTCCAGAGTGAGGGGAGAATCGGCTTCCAAATATACTTGCGCCGAGGTTGAGGCCCGCCGAGGGGGATCTTCGGGTGCCCATTGCCGACTTTCCAATTCGGCGATTCTTCGTCGCAATGTTTCAAGTTCGGATGACTCTTGACGAGCCCGATTTCGTTCTATATGCTGCCGAAGGTCGGTCTGCGCCGGGTTGGAGGGGTTTCGGTGTTGTGCATGAGGCGGTGATCGTCGTGAATGACCGGACTGGCTTTTGGCAGTTTCTTCATGAGGAAGTGTAAGAGGATTGCGCCCGGCGTCGGTACGACATGTAGTTTGTTCTAGAGGTGGTTACGACGCTCATCACAAGGTTGAGAGGTTGCGTGAGACATAGTTCTTCCGTCGTCTCGTCGCACGGGTGGATTCTGCGGATTTGCAGGAGTCGTCGGTATTATAGAGTGTCCCGGGGCAGCCGTTGATGTGCCGGGGAGGGTTTGAGCCATCAAAGTGGCGAAACCACGTGCAAACTCCGGATTTTGAAACAGAACGGTATAATCCGGTACGGGGGGAGCTATGGCTTGCGTTTAGCGGATTGGGCAGCGTTGCGACTGTGGCCATTTCGTGAAGTATTACCACGATGCTCTGAATGGGACATTGTGGATATGGCTGATCGGAATCGTTATTTGAAAAACGCGGAGATTAACCTCAAATCACGTATGAGGCCCTCCTTCTAGCGCCAAACTGTTGTCGTATGATTTTTAACAATGATTTAAAGTTGAGTTTATGGGATAATTTCAAGTGGTTTAAACGTAAAGCATGTAAGAACTGTTCAACAATGGCCCCGGTCCGAGGTGAACCGAGGTGAAAAGCCTTTATTGGCTGTTACGTGTTTAATATTTCTGAATTCCCCCTTGTACAAATGTCATAGGCTCGTTATTTATAGTAGCTTTTTCAGTAGATACATTGGGATTCGTGTATTATTTTTCATATAAAGTAACTTTTGGTGGGCGGTTGGAGCAGTGGGTCCCACATGAATGATGACAAATCTCGTAGAATTGTGATAGGGGTGTGTAGGCGCCTTGTCACCTGCTTTAGGAGGTGACGATCTCGGTTTCAGTTGACCTCGGCAGGTGACGACCTCGGTTTAAGTTGACCTCGGTAAGTGTAGGTTACTTCGGTCTTTAGTGGTTTGGACCGGCTCATTGCGGGGACTAGCACGGTTTTGGATCACGTCAGTTCAATAGTTAATTTCACTTAACATGATGCTCAAACTCCTTAATGGTGTTTTGCCGAGTCGGATGATAACACATTCTTAGCGGTAACCCAACCTTTAGAATCAAAGATCCCGAAACCTTGGTTCATTGGGAAAACTGAGTTTAGAAAGTTCACTGAAACACTTGAAAGTTTCACCCATTCTCAAGAACCGTCAAGTGTTAAAATCTACCTAAGTGGTGAGGTTAAGTCAAGGACTTTTAATGATTCCTATACCTACGGGTGGAGTAAGGTAGAATACTCTTTATAGGAGAATCACCTTTGTAAGTGAGAAGTAAATTGGCCGCTTCAACGAACACTTACTAAACTGAGATATGATCCTAGGCCAAAATGGACACAACGTGAGAACAAGAAATTGTTAGAGTTGTTATTGTGTGAGTACTATTGTCTTGGTGCACACAAATAACCGGTAAGTTCAAAGCATCTTGCTAATAACCTGCTAGTGTATCCAATAGTATTTCACTAAGGAAGATTCAAAGTCACAAGCTATCTATCCTGATGCATGATGGTTCGCTGGAACTCTCAAGTATTGCATACATGCATTAATTTCATTAATGTGGGGGATTCTAAGAAAAATTGACTTTGTACCAATTTAACAGTTCTATTTTTCTTAGTAGAAGACTAAAAAATTCTCAAAACTTTTTGTAAGGTGGATGAGAAATTAATTTTAAGTGTTATATGTTAATTAATTGAGTTTAAATAACTCAAAGGTTGTAGGGTTCACAAACATTCTGTCTTGACAAATGTTTTGAAACGAGTCATAATTATGCATTATGTATGCTAGAATTGTAAAAGGGCTCGCTGGGGAAAAGTAAGAAACAATAGAACTCAATTCCGAGTCCGTATGAGATCGTACAAGCCAGCGGCGCACGAAAGCGCAACTGGATGCGAATATCGAAGGGTCGCGACCCTTGGTGACCATAAGATGTCTTTTGACCACTAGATACATCCGTTCTCATTTAGGCACGTCTCAAAGGTGTATTTTGACACTTAAACCTCTTGGAAGTGTTTCTCTACAACTATAAATACCCACAAACATGAAATCATTTAATACATCAAATTTTCAATATCTCTTTCAATTCTTTTACAAAGTTCACAATCATCTTGTGTTATTTGTGTTATTTTCTATCTTGAGGGTTCCAAAACATAAGTATTGTTCGCCCGGGTGTGACTTCTTAGTCAATGGCAACACTCTGACCAGATTTAGTGGAAAACTTTCCACTACTTTCGTCTTTCATCGATATATTTGGCTAACTACGCTGGAATAGAGCCAGACCCCGAGGAACGAGTGTATGATTTCTCATAAAATCCCAGTTACCACTATACAAATCATAAGTCGATGTATCTTGGAGGCGTTAGTCGTGAACCATGGGTGACATACGGGGCTATGTCGTCTTAAAGAGAGCGTATCTTATGTGCCTCGACTTTATTCGTTTTACCATTTTCCTTCTAATTTCTTAAGCCATTTTCTTGAAATTCACATACCAAATATAAACTACACATAGATGGCTCATTGTCAAAAACTGGTGGACTCGAATACTCAAGTGAGTCATGCTAATCCGTGAACAGAGCACGTGAATAGCCCGTCTTCGAACATGACACATGACGATGTCAAGGCTTGTCGCACGCAAAGCAGCGAAACACATTGTCAGGTTTCGCATCGATCGCTGGCGCGACAACTGCTGTACTGCCAGGGACTGCAGCCGCAAGGGAACACTCGACGTACCATGCATTAGAGATAAAGTATACCGTCGCACGCAACGCCAATTGCTGCTCCAAAAGAGCCCGTTCATGTGCATCCGAGATGGAGTCCGAAACAAACAAATTCAACGTATCCTGATTGGGGACACGCAAACCGCCAATATGCCATGACACCCATTGGTCTGCCGCTCACCGAGCCGTCCTTTGACAAAACTTTTACAACCATTGATAAAGCATATGGACATAATTGTAGGGCAAAAATTCACGCTCCAAATGCTTACGAAATTTCCCCAAGTTGCACTTTTGGGCTTACCATTTCATTGTCTAGCCGCCTTGAACTGTTGCCACCAAGCGGCTGCACATCCGCGCAGCCGGGTCAGGACTAGTGCCACCGGTCGGGACATTGACACCTCATTAAAATGAGCATATTCTAGACCACACAGAGCCAATCTAAGAAATCGACTACATCAAGGCCTCCTGACAACTCGGGAGTATCGACCCACAAACACACCTCCCAACGTCGGTTGTCGGCCCCTCGCGCTACCTCACGTGCATCAAATGCTCTGAACGGACTGTCGCATGGGATTGTTTCTTTCAGATCGTCGTCCCCAAAGAAAGATGGCGCGAATGGAAGCGGGGTGCCTCGCGTATTCTCCTCAGCTGCGACCTCCTCACACACCTCCATGCCCACCAGACGTGGTGTCAGCCCCGCGGTGATGCTCGCCGTGGCCAGAAGAGACCAACGCCAGACGAATTTTTTTAAAATCCATCGACAATGATTCAAACTGACATCCTAACATCGTGATCTTCGCGTCGCGCCTGTCTTCCGCAGCATCGTTCCTCTTGGGCGACATGGTGTAAGAAGCATACTGGTTTGCTTATACCAATTGACGTAGTGAAAGCGTAAAGTAGACATGGCCACTCGACAGGTTGGCGAGGCCCGAACCTGGTCTGGTCAAACCCGTTGACCACACGGGTCCGGGACTGGCTCGAATTTGAATTGGGCCAGTCCAGGGCCTTGTTTTTGTTGACCATGGCAAGGCGGGTCGGGCCGGATCTGATACGGCCCGGGAAAAACACATTGTTTTAATTTATTTATTTTTTTTTTTATTTATTTGGGCAGATCCAGACCCGGCCCGGCCCGGCCCACCTGGCCATGGACCTGGCCCGCACGGCCTAAGTCGTGCCGGTTCAGGGTCCATGAAATCCAATCCGTTGGGCCGGGCCCGGGCCGTGTGTTCGGCATGTTAGCTTAAACGCAAGAGAATTTGGGAGAAAACCCTTGAATATATTTTTATTCAATCAAAATCAATCAATTAAAACAATAGGAGATGAGTCTTTTAAATATAACCCCTAAAAATTTTAGGTAAATAACTTTTCTAACAATAAAATGAATAGGAGAAATAATTAAAATTGCATAAGAAATCCATTATGAAAATAATTCTAAAATAAAGAATATAATTTATTAAATCAATTATGCTTTACGATCATGATTGTCCAAAAATGCGAACACAATCTCGTCTCTATCACTATTCCTTTTCGTTTATTTCCACTTTGTATTTGAATTTTAAACTTCGGTTGGAAATCTGAATATTTGGGTACCTAAAACTTTTACAACTCTAATTTACCCCGTAATATCATTTTTTTTTTCTTTTTTTTTTTATTTGTTTACTAACAGTGAAAATTGCACTATGGGGAGGGTCATAGTTGGGGAGACACCTCAAAGTTCATAGATGCTGGCCTGTCTTGTACTTTTCCTTCATAATTACTTCACTATTCTTTTAGGTCAGAATGTAAATACAACAACTTTACATATATTACCAAGGCTTATAATTACACATTAAAACAAAAAAAAAAAAAAGCATAGATCACTCATGAAGAAACAAGGAAACCACCACCAATAATCTGATGTACATACATACTGACATACATACACTTTAACTAATCTTGCTCCATAAATAAACTATCAGTAGGTAGTCCTGAACGGCCTATAAACCTTGAGGTCCAGCACCACCCCTGCCACCGACCCTGCTCCCGCTGCCACCGATATAACGAGGCACCCGAAACTCAGCATCTTCAGGCACACCCACCTCCTGCTCCACTTCTCTATCTTCTTCTGCGCAATGTACATCTCCACCGGGAAATATACCGTCAACGGCCAGAAACCAAACGCCCCTAAAATCCCCACCACATCGTTAAAAAACGGGAGCAGCATCGATATCACCGTCGTCAACACGACAAACGCGCTCCGGAAAATATTGACCTTGTAAGCCTGGCCCGCCAAGTGGATCTCCCGGGAGATGAAGTGGCTATCGGGCCAAGTGGACAAGGCCCATTTCTCTACAAAGGCAAATAGTGGCTGGCAGTAGACTTGGTAGGCTCCCACGAGGTGGATCACAATTGCGGCATTGGCGATGTCTAGGAGCCAGAATGGATTGTAAAAACCGAACCCGGTTAGGAGATTGCCGGGGGCAAGGTCACCGAAAGACGCGTACCCCATACACCCGCACAGCATGTAGAAGCATGTGGTTACCACCGTGCTCAACAGTGAGGCTTTTTTCATCGTCTTGGCTTCTGCTGGTGGGGACTTTATCGTGTCCTGAATCTCGATGAGGATGATTGAAAACGAGTACGCGAAAGCTATATCGCCTAAAGCTTGGAAGCTTCTCCAAATTTTTTGTGTTTGAGTTACGGTCCCAATGCTTATACCAGTGAGACTGCCCTTGATGGTTCCGGTAGCTGTTCCAATAATGAGAAATACGAGCATGTTATCGAAATAAATCCGATCTTAACATGTAATGATAAAAGTAAAAAAAGGAGGGGATAGATATGTGAACCTGCTACTTTGGCGATGCCGAGGCCTAAGCCAATGGACGAATAAGTGAATGACATGATGGCAGCAACGATTGAAAGCCACCATATCTGGTCAAAGTTCGGAATTTGGGAGAATATGATTTGGGTGATGCCGAAAGCGATCATGTACGGGTTGCTTGACATGTGGCACGGATCCTTGCCGCCACTCTTGTGGAAACAATTCGATCTTTTGATGGCCCTGTTCGAGATATTGAGATTGAGATTCCAAAAAGTTTAAGTCAAGTCATAAACAAGAAAAAGAATAGTAGGATTGTGTGTGATGTGCATGCACTCACATCATGCTTATAGATGCTGCAATTGTGTACCCGATGGCCACTCCGAATATGTTCATGTACTGAATCAGACCGCATAACTTCACTTTATATCCGCCTGTTACGAAATCAAACATGCAAGAGTACAAGAAAAAACGAAAAAGTAGTTGTCACACAGACCTCAATCAAGTGGCTTTAATTCCTGTAATGAAGAAATCAAGTTGTACCAAGATTGGAGCGGACGGCATCCATGTACGTATAGTTTCTCTTGCCGAACAATGGATCCCCCGAACGGTAACAATCAGCTAAGAGGGTCGACGTGTAATATATAACGAAAGAGAACATGAACATGACAGTTGGGCCTGCAATCCATCCCAGCTGGCCTATAGCCCATGCTAAGGAAAGAACGCCCGAGCCAATCACCGCGGTTATTATGTGTGCACTAGCAGTCCAAACAGTACCTAAAAACACATAAATAACATATATATATTGGGATTATGTCAAAATCAATGAATATCGTATCATGGATTACAAAAATCGTTCGGTTTTAAACTTAATTCAGGAATTACCAGTTCTTTGGGGTCGGCCATCATCATCGACAGCTTTGAAGCAGAAGTCGGTCGGCATATTGACAGAGATCTTCAAACCTTGGCCATTGTGGTGGTTATTGTTGGTGCCAGTGCTCTCACCCATCCTTAAAAACAAGCTCTTAACACACTAGAAGAAACAAATATCGTTACTCTATATTTCCTCAAGAACTAATGCAGATAAAGAAAAGAACCAAATGGTGATTACAAGAGAATGAAGAAGAGTAGCTACAAGCACTGTATGATAAGTTAATAACAAAGTGAGGAGGGAATTTATAGACATTTTGCAATATCTATAATTGGAATGTCGTGTGGAAGTAAAGTTCCCGCAAGAGAAGAAAGGTCTCGATTTTTCCATTGTTTAATTTCAACATATCCAATCAAGATTGCCAAGAAAATATATCCTTTATGTCAACGGTCGAACGTGCACAAAGAAAACGACCGATGTGCAATAATTTTACACGTAACATGTTAAAATGAAACAAAAGTTTACAAGGGTGGTGCCGCATCATAAAGATAACTACAACTTTGTCGCCGCAAGCGACATTTTTACCTCGATTATTATTGTAGCAGAGCCCTCGAACAGGGGAAACTATACTTATGTACAAAAAGAGGGTATTGTTTGTTACTCTATGAAATGGGATGAGAAAGCAACTGCTGCACACTCCCTCAGCTGAGTGTGCCCATGGGACTTATATAGAGAGGGAAAATTACAAAAGTTCAAAAAAAAAAAATAAAAAAATGGAATTTAAATTCTTGTAATGTATTACAACTTTAAGAAAAAAGTTCGCCTTTGTTGACCGTTTATACGTGTAACTTTCCCTTCCACCGATCTTAAAAGAAAAAGCATCGATTCATCGTGCTAACGTTGATTGTTAGCATTTTAGTATTGCAAATTGTTGGCATTTTTTAGCAAGAAAAATTCCAGGGCAAAGATGCATTATTCAACAGCATGATTGGCAAAATATTGGTGGAGCACTTGTTTTCCTCAAATTAGATACCCTTTTTGCTGTCCATTCTTTTAGTCAGATACTGACAAGTACCATGAGTACTGATTGCTATTGGTTGTGAATTAGAACAGATGACAAAAATCACATTTGAGCACTATATATGGCAGAGAAACATCAAAGGTTTAGTCATACTATCACATTCTGAGAAGTTGTCTGTAACGACTATTCACTTCTAAATCTCTGTAAGAAACGAGGGGTGAAAACGGGTACGGTCTCACGCATGTGAAATGCATTATAACAGGGAAAGCGCAGATGAAGCACAAGTGAGGTTCCGTCCCAAAACCGAGATCATATATTTTACAATAAGGTTCACATGCATTATGTTCCATTATGTTAACTTTTACAAAGGATATTGTTCAAGTCTAAGGTTCTTCATGTTTGTGTATAAATGGCCTATGTTCCTATCACCACCATTCATTCAATTAGGCATATTATAACAGTCAACCAAATAGAAACACACACTTTCAATGGTGCCTCTTTCAAGTTGGTTGTCCCCAGTTGTAGATCCACTCGAGTAGTATCCTGTTTTTTCAACTGATCACACACACACATATATCGTGCATTAGTAAGAAAAAATAATTATCATGTTTATGTAAATAAATACCAACCATTCTTTTCATTCCTTTGTTTTTGGGAAAAGAAAATCTTATGTAATGAGAATAAATTGAATGGCCTTAATTGCTACTACTGTTGGCTCCCACATTGGATCATTACATCAATTTCTCATATAAATTACAGGAAATAATTTTAATTTTGGTCCGATTACTTGTCTAAAGTCCATTTTTTGGTACGCTAAAGCACTCCTTATCAAAAATAGTAATTTATGTTGTAATTTGTATTATTTTTGAGACATTACTCATCACAAACAGTACGTTATGTTGCAGTTTGTATCAGTTTTAGGACATTAATAGCAAAAAATAATGAACCATTTTTGAGATAATGTCCCAGTAGTGATACAAATTGCAATATAACGTACTGTAATTGATCAGTGGAAAAATTAGTGTACCGAAAAAAAGACTTTAGACAAGTAAACGGACCAAAATTAAATTTTGGCCTAAATTACAGTGTATAAAATTAGATATCATAATACTTTGTTTCAAATCTATCTATTTATTATTATTATTATTATTATTATTATTATTATTATTATTATTATTATTATTATTATTATTATTATTATTATTATTTGGGGGAAAAATAATTCTTGCATCATATCTAATTAATTTTACCATAAATGAAAAGTTTTCAGGTGCATGTTGAATTCTACCCAAATTTTAATTTATTTGAAATGGTACAAGACACAAATTACGTTTCTTTAGAAAATGGTCCTCGCTTATAGGTAAAGAAAATATTATGTGCAATGTTCCACTCTATAATATGACAATTCACTAAAAACTAAATAGAATAAATATTGTGAAGGATCATCAGAATTATTCGTAACAAGGAGCACGGAGAAACTTTTAATTTAGGCTGTTAGATTCTTGTGCATCCACCACATAATATTGGCAGGCACTAAGCATCAATAATACGCTATTTTAAATAAATGATGATAAGAGCCACTAATAGTTGGCTCATTCGCTCTCATTCCCTTTAGAATCAGATACTCTGATGATACTGGTTATAATGATAGTGTCCTTTAGTGGGGTCGGTCACCTTACAAGATTCTTCAGCTCATTAAACAAAAGAAGTGCATCTTTTGGCAATTTGGTGGTAATTATTAAAGTAAAAACTGAAAATGATGTTTTTTTTATTCTCTCGTTTCTGGGAGTGTTCTTCTCTCGTTTGAGAGTGTCTTTTCCGTGGGGAGTGATCTTCTTCGGGGATCGAAGGTCAGTCTTATAGTGAGGTTTAGGTGCGCTTTGGTGTCATAGTGCTGTTGCGAAGAATGGCTGAAGAAATAGGGCAAAGATTAGGGCAAGTATTGATTGTCGTTGCAGAGAAGCTAATTATAGATATCGAAGAAAGGGATGTTAGATTCAATGCGGAGGAATGTAGCCGGAGTTTATTAGGGAAAGTGATCGGAGAGAAGAAAGCCAATTGGATGGGAATCAAGAGAACAATGGGGCTGTTATGGAGAATGGGAAACAACCTGGAAGTAAGGGAGCTTAATTCTAACTACTTTCAATTCTTGTTCCCGAATCGTGAAGCCATGTTAAGAGTTGATATGGAGAGAAGCTGGGTGTTCGAGAACCAATACTTGTTGTTGCAGAAATGGCAAGAGGGTTTATCTGAGGACCACCCCAATTTTGGGGAGATTATGCTTTGGGTCCAGGTCCACGGGGTGCCTATCAACTGGTTGAGCATTGATGTGGGTACGAAGTTGGGCAGAGCTTTTCGAGATATAAAGAATGTGAATTTGGCGAGGGCAGGGATGCAAGGAGGGAGAATACTCAGATTACAAGTAAAGCTAGATCTGAAGGAGCCTCTGCCTAGGTGGTCATCAATTCGTCTGGGAGAACAGGTAGTCACAGTGCAATTCAAATATGAGAAAATTGTAAGCCTCTGCTATTATTGTGGGAGATTGGGACATGTAGATAAGAATTGCTCCCATATGAAAAAGGACATTGCTAGAAAGGAACCAAAGGTGGGGCAGTATGGAGAGTGGATGCGAGCTGCTGATGGCTTTATTATCTCAGAGTCTCCTCCAACAAGTAATAACAGTGATCCATCAGCTAATCGTCCTGTGGAGCCTCGCGTACCCTCAGACCGCATGGATCAGGAGCTAAGTCATACGGTGATGGAATCAACGGAAGGAGAAAATCTACTCTTATCGAAATCGCATAAAAATCTAGCTATGGTGGAGTCATCTTCTTCAAGAGCAGGAGGGGATATAGCTTCAGTTATGATCATGGAAAACAGTCCTCCGATACCGAATTCACCAGTGATACAAGTTAGAGAGTGGAGCCTGAAAATTATACCAGAGGGAGAGGATATAATAAAAGCCAACCAAGAGGAGATGGTGCTTATGGAGCATTTGCCAGAAAACCTGATTGTTGAGAAGAAAGGAAAAATGTGGAGGAGAACCAGTTCTAAGATGGAGAGATTAGCAAGGCAAGAGCAGCAGAATAATAGCCCTGATACTCTAGCTACTTACAGAAAAAGGAGAGGAGATGCAATTATGGAGGTGGAAGATGTCCAGAATGATAATGTGCTGGAGGTAGGGAAGAAGAGGACTAAACTTACTGGTAAAGAGGTGGTGGTAGCCAGCCAAAATTGGCCCCAGAGTGATCAATGCTAGCTCTGGTGTGGAACTGTAGAGGTTTGGGAGGCCCCTCTACAGTT